AAGGTTTGAGGTTGGTAAATTTTTCTGTAGGTTGGTGGGGGGAAAGTGATCATGTCAGGATCGGGTTTTGGGGGTGGGGTTGGTTTTTGGCCCCTCCTGTTCCATAACTTGATTTTCTTTGACCAGAAACTTTTTTTTTTAACAATTTACATTGCCCCCCCCCCCCCAGACACAATCATACGGTGGCTCTGAGGTGACATGCAGAAAACCCGATACTTTTCTCCTGGCTGCAACTTTTGCTGCGAGTTTTGTTGCAACTTTTACTGCGAATTTAACTTTGCCGCGAGTTTAACTTTAGTACAACTTTTGCTGCGGGTTTTGCTGCGACTTTTTTACCATTTGTATTGCGGGCTCAAGTTCTGTACCATGTGTTGATCAAGATAGCGGAGTCGGAGAATGAAGATTATGTGTTTACTCTTACCTGCCTCTGCTTACTTCGAGTTGTATAGAGAAAATGGAATCTAACATGTGACTATAGTATAAATCAAGACGGCATGATTTTCCTTGTTCTACCTCTTATGGTTAAATTTTTGGTAGCGGAAGCCGTTATTCCCGAACATTTACCTGTAAACCAAGCCGTTGAGCGAAGGGCTGTGTAGGGCTATTTAGGGTTGTGTACGGCTATGTAGGGCTATGTAGGGCTGTGTACAGCTATGTACGGCAATGTATGGGTATGTAGGGCTATGTAGAGTTGTGTAGGGTTATGTGTGGCGTAGGGCTATGTACGGCAATGTACGGCTATGTAGAGTTGTGTAGGGCTATGTATGGCTGTGTACGGCTATGTAGAGCTATGTAGGGCTGTGTACGGCTATGTAGGGCTATGTAGGGCTATGTAGAGTTGTGTAGGGCTATGTATGGCGTAGGGCTATGTAGGGCTATGTACGGCAATGTAATACTTACCTTTTTCGAAAATTTCAGCCAGAAAAAAGGCTCCCGAAAATTCTAGGTGACCTTTTTAGGGTAAAAATCCTTTAAAACTGGGCAAGTATACCATTTTTTAGATGTTCGAAAATCCTAGGAGAGGCAGGCAAGCAAGAAATTTTACAACAAATGTTCCAAAAATTCTAGATCTCAAATTGTCTTCCAAACAGATATTTTCCAAAAAAATGACGTTGGGTGCCCCTGTACATGTATTTAACGGTACATAGCCCTACAGAGCCATACATTGCCCTACATAGCCGTACACAGCCTTTCACAACCTCGACACAACCCAACATAGCCCTACATAGCCCTAAATAACCCTAAATGGCCCTACATAACCCTACATGGCCCTACACAGCCATACATGGCCCTACACAACTTTACATTGCCCTACATAGCCGTGATCCCTATAATTTTCAGATCACTAGACTTTCAGCTAGAAAATCCGAACAGATGAAAAATTTTTAGGGGATAAAAATATGCCTATATCTACCGTTTAAATACTAAATCGTTTCACAATAGTATGTTTAAGTGGTTTTGAACTATATTCTCGTTGGGTGCCCCACCCTACATAGCCCTATTTAGCGGTACATAGCCCTACAGAGCCATACATTGCCCTACACAGCCGTACACAGCCCTAGACAACCCTACACAACCCAACACAGCCTACATAGCTTTAAATGGCCCTACACAAGCCTACATAGCCCTACATAACCCTACATAGCCGTACACAGCACTACATAGCCGTACACAGCACTACATAGCCGTACACAGCCCTACGCAACCCAACACAGCTCTACATATCCCTACACAGCCCTTCGCTCAACAGCTTGCTTTATATTCGGGAAACACGGCTTCCGCTACCAAAATTTAACCATAAGAGGTAGAACAAGGAAAATCATGCCGTCTTGACTTATACTATAGTCACATGTTAGATTCAATTTTTTCTATACAACTCGAAGTGAACAGAAGTAGGTATGAGTAAACACATGATATTATCTTCATTCTCCGACTCTGCCTTCTTGATCAACACATGGTACAGAACTTGAGCCCGCATTACATATGGTAAAAAAGTCGCAACAAAAGTCGCAGCAAAAGTCCCAGCAAAATTAAACTCGCAGGAAAAGTCGCAGCAAGGAGAAAAGTATCGGGTTTTCTGCATGTCACCTCAGAGCCACCGTACGATCACACACTGTAGGTCTTAAAATTTTTGTTAAGTGCTTACATGGAGGGGTGGTAGGGTGGTGGGTGGAGTTTTAATATTCACTTCATGGTGCTTCTAACCAAGATAAGCTCTCACTGTGCAGGCCCTCTGGCTTGTTTTAAGTACCTCTACCATCCATGGGGGGAGGGGGGGAAGTTGTAATATTCACTCCCTGGTACTTTCAACCAAGATAAGCTCTCACTGTGCAGACCCTCTGGCTTGTTTTAAGTACCTCTACCATCCATAGAGCGGGGGGTGAAGTTGTAATATTCACCCCATGGTGCTCCATGGTGCTTCCAACTGAGATAAGCTCTCACTGTGCAGGCCCTCTGGCTTGTTTAAAATACCTCTACCATCCATGGGGGGAGGGGGTGGAGTTGTAATATTCACTCTTTGGTGCTCCATAGTACTTTCAACCAAGATAAGCCCTCACTGTGCAGGCCCTCTGGCTTGTTTCAATTACCTCTACCATCCATGGGGGGAGAGGGGGGAGTTGTAACATTCACTCCATGGTGCTTCATGGTGCTTCAAACCAAGATAAGATCTCACTGTGCAGTAGGCTCGATTACCAGCCGCTGTTCGGGAAAATGAGCCCGCACTCATCCCCCCTTGAAGAGCGGCTGGACGCGTGCGATTTCCTTTGTTGGTTTAAGCCAATCATGTTACCGCCTGCAGATTTTCGTCTGGCAAAGATTGTCGCAGAAATTTATATATCACATCAAAACAGAAAGTCCTTTCTTGATCCATCGGATGGTGAAGCGATTTCGACGGTGCGGAGACATTAGGCGAAATTCTAGAATCCGAAGGAACACAACGTTTTGTTCGATTGTTTGTTGTTAACTTTTTTTTTAATGATTGTTGTTGGAGAGATCTTGCATCTTCAAGCATCTTTTCAAGGCGCTTTAGGTCTCGATAACTGCGTTCGTTAGAGATGTAACCGTCCACGTTTATATTTGACAGAGGAACTTTCAATATGCTGGAAATTCTGTCTGGTAAATCAGAAACGTTTCCATTTAATTTGGTCCGCTTCCGAGAATCAGTCAGTTCGGACCCACAGAAGACTAAATCCAACATTTGAAGATCAAAGAAAATTAACTGCGTGTCGAGTGTACAGAAATGTACCTAAGAATATTTTTCACGATGTATGGAAATGTACCGAAAAAACTATTTCGAAAGTCATTTGGGCGGGCAAGGGAACACTTGATGCAATTTTGAGCCAAATAAATAAGAAAATTGGAGACCAGTTTCACTTCCAGTGATATCGGAGACGCCTAAATTATATATTTTCCAATTACGTCACAGATAAGGTCAACGGGTCACGCGTCCAGCCGTCTCTTTTCGGGGAGGATCAAAGACCGGACCCGGGAGACGGCGGAAATCGAGCCTAACTGTGCAGGCCCTTTGGCTTGTTATAAAAAACCTATCCCATCCGTGGGAGGAGGGGGTGGAATTGTAATATTCACCCCATGGTGCTCCATGGTGCTTCCAACCAAGATAAGCTCTCACTGTGCAGACCCTCTGGCTTGTTTTAAATACCTCCCCCATCCATGGGAGGAGGGGGTAGAGTTGTAATATTCACCCCATGGTGCTTCTAACCAAGATAAGCTCTCACTGTGCAGACCCTCTCACTTGTTTTAAATACCTCTCCCATCCATGGGGGGAGGGGGTGGAGTTGTAATATTCACTCCTTGGTCCTTCATGCTTCCTCTATGAAGATACTGTAAGCTCTTGCTGTGCAGGCCCTCTGGCTTGTTTTAAGTACTCTTTTAGAATGCTGAGTTAGTGAACCACTAAGCTTGCTGATCCCTCCAGTTTCAAGAAATTTGATGGATAATTAATGTCCATGATCCTTACCTCTCAGTGTGGTACTTAGTCTAAGCAGTTGCAACAGAGTAAGTAAAGTTTCTTATCTCAGCCAAATTTACTCAAAAGACAATGCTTGAGTCTCCTAACATACATCTAATTACGGTTTGTATGAACCTTAGCAACGCGTCTTTTAAGAAAACCCTTTAGCAAATTAATGTTTCTCTTCTTTTAGGATTTGTCATCCTTTCCTAGCACAGCCTCTACATCACAGGAAGACCATGAAAGCAATTCAGGATCCACTTCCTCCAGGAAATTGAGAGTGACTCTGTTAAGCAGTGAATGGAGATCAACAAAAGGAGGCTTGTCAACCATCAACCGAGAGCTGGCTATTCAGTTGGCGAAACACCCCAGCGTGGAGGTCAGTGTTTACCTCCCTCATTGCAGTGAAGAAGATAAACGATTTGCTGCAAGTCANGCCTCTACATCACAGGAAGACCATGAAAGCAATTCAGGATCCACTTCCTCCAGGAAATTGAGAGTGACTCTGTTAAGCAGTGAATGGAGATCAACAAAAGGAGGCTTGTCAACCATCAACCGAGAGCTGGCTATTCAGTTGGCGAAACACCCCAGCGTGGAGGTCAGTGTTTACCTCCCTCATTGCAGTGAAGAAGATAAACGATTTGCTGCAAGTCACTATGTACAGCTTATTGAAGCACAAAAAATGGCAGGTTATGACAATCCCGTTGACTGGTTGTCCTCTCTACCAGAAGACCACGCTGTGGACTGTGTGATAGGACATGGGGCTGTTCTTGGTCGGCAAGTGCAGTTCATCAAGCGAACTCATCCTTACTGCAAGTGGATTCAGATCGTTTATACAGCTCCAGAAGAGCTTGGAATGTACAAAGAATATGAAGAGCACATTTCCAGAGGCGAGGACAAACACCAGGTTGAGGTTGAACTCTGTAAATTGGCTGATCAAGTTGTGGCAATTGGACCCAAGCTGGCTGAAGTATTCTCAGGGTGTCTTCGTTCTTGTGGGAAAGATCAAGATGTTCTTAATTTTACCCCAGGAATTTTCTCTGAGTTTGCAGATGTAAACCAAGCCTTTGAAGAAAGAAAGGCATTCAATGTTTTGGTCTTTGGACGTGGTGACAATGAAGATTTCCAGCTGAAGGGATATGGCATTGCTGCCCAAGCCATTGCTGAGTTGAAAGACATGACCTTCAAACTTGTGTTTGTTGGAGCAACACGGGAAGAAGAAGAGAAAGTAGCAAGAAAGTTAGTGGAGCAAAGCGTTGATGCTAGTCAACTTAAAGAGTGTTGCTTTAATGAAAGTGGGGAGAAACTAGCTGATTTATTTTGCGAAGCAGATCTTGCTGTAATGCCATCACGAACTGAGGGATTTGGTCTAGCTGCCCTTGAGGCTTTATCTGCTGGTCTACCTGTGCTGGTCAGTGGGAACTCTGGTCTTGCGGAAGCTTTGAAGAAAGTTCCACATGGTTCAAGCTGTGTTGTGGAATCAGAAGATCCTAAAGACTGGGCCAGTGCAATCAGAGCTGTCCGTCACAAAGACAAGGAAATGCGACTTGGGGAGTTTGATGTTGTGCGTGGAGCATATGCAAAAAAGTACAGCTGGAAGGAACAGTGCGATAAACTTGTTGAAAGGATGAAAGTGATCTCTTCAGAAGGTCAGTTAAAATGAGTACTATTGTATTGCGTCTTCTGTTGCATATACACTAGTAATGTTCTCCCTATCAGGCGGTAACCGATAAAATTTACTGCCTGAAGCAACATTTCTTACCGCCTGCAATGGCCTGAAGGTTTACTAAAATTAAAGAAATACTTTTAAAAAATACACAAGTTGTGATCTGATCCAATTATCACATGCCACAAGAAAATGAATGAATGTATGGACTTACGTAAGTATGCACAGCTTTTCTTTTTATGTGCCACACATTCTGGAAAGAGAACATTGAAGACACTATTGGAATCAATCGTTTTAACTTGTTCTGAAAAGGTAACAACGGCCAATTTGCGTAAAGCAGGTCTTATATTTAGGGAATGACATTTCAGAGAACTTAGCTCCTAAATTTCCCAGAAAGAGCTGGGCCATTTCCCGCACTCCACCTACCGCCTGTCCCGACGCCTGTCCCCTGAAACGTACACCTCTGTGGTGCCTATTTTTTTGCCTTACCGGCTGTGAATGGTCCCTTACCTGCTGAGCAAAAATCTAGGGAGAACACTGCATTAGACTTTAAATGAAATGTATGCTAGCCTGCAATTAAAACCGGCTCTCCCATCGCTCCCTGCCACAGGCAATATTTTGTGGAAGAGAATGATGAGAGGCGGCTGTAATCGCAGGGTAAATGTATGCTTAATAGTTAGGATTTATTGCGTTTACAAAGTAAAAAGATCCCGTGCACTCATTCAACTTGAAAGCATTGTTAATGCATGCTCATTTAGAAGCAGATATTATCACAAACAACTGCACCTATATTTTGGCAGAAATAGCTTTATTATATAGACACGAGTGTTTTACTGGAAAATAGATCACTCGTAAAATTCATAAAAACTACATCCGGTACCCGAGTGGTTTATTTTCCATAATCTCACACGTGAGTTTATCGATAACGTTATTTCGGTAATTTCCCTCTATTATTTTATCGATGTCATTTTGTCTATGTAATAAAAAGAACATTACATGGCGGCTTGAAGATATGAATTTTATTTTCTCCTGGTAAAAACAACATTTTACTCGCTGTGCTCGTTCGTAAAATATTGTTTTGCCACTCGAATATAAAATTCATATCTTCGCGCCACCGTGTAATATCCTCTATGTATTATTTGAACGATAAATAAACAAGAATATTTCTATAGAGTTGGGCTGGAAGTAAAACGCTATCTGAAACATTGATCGGAGGTTAAGGTGCCTTGTACACGTTAATTCTCAGTTGAAAACAAAAGCACGTTAGGTGGCAATTCTGCTGGCAAAAATAATTAGACCAACACCAAAACTGATTTCATTTCAGAATCATCAAAGAGACTTCAGTCTTTGGACAAAGGTAAAAGGCCATTATCCCCAAGTGATACCCCAGCTTCAAAACCACCGAGACTATTGAGATATGCAGGTAAACCATCTGTTGCTGCAGTACATCAATCATTAGAGTTTTCAGTCTATACATGTAGTGCAGAGCTGTATTGATTTATAGCCTAGCACACGCAGCGGAGCACCTTGGGTAAGAACAATTTCGACCCCAGAGCTCTAGTCTGCGCAAGACTGCCAGGGAGAAATAGCTCTGGGGAACCCTGGAGCAAGATTGTCTCTGATTGGTTTCAGCAAAAAAACAATAAAAGTGTTTCTGATTGGTTCATTCAAGTTTGCACGACAGTTGGTCAACGCGCGGCGTGTCTGGCGTGTGAGCGGGTTTTCCTAGAAATGTTGATGTAAACACACCCAGCCGATTCTTGATTTCAGCGATTCCAAAATAACGCTTGCTCGACTAATTAGGCAGAATAACTGGATTCCCCGATGTTCAAATAAAATACGTTACCTGCATATCGAAAATTGACCAACAAAAAGATTTGAATGTTAAAAATTTGATAAAAATACTCCGACTTTTTCAGCTACAATTTATGCGTGAGTTGTGGAAGTAAAAGCCTGAAGATGAAGTTAATACTTGTAGCATAAAAGAAATTAGAAATGGAGAAAACAGCTGTTTCCAGCACCACAAAGTTACTGAAATGGAAGATAACACCGCTCAAGGGTACTGCCGGCGAATGGGTAAGATTTGAAAACATGTTCCTGACATAAGTTGATGCGAAGTCGATTTCCGACGAAGAGAAATTCGGGTACCTTCTAGAATCCGTTAGCCCGCAGGTGAGAGACAGAATTGCAGATTTAAAGCCTGGAACTGTTAGTTACAAGACAGTGTGGGATCGACTAAAGAAAGAATACTGGCAAACAAAGGTCGTCATGAATGCACACATGGAGGAAATCGAAACCCTCGAAGTGACAAGGGTTTGTTATGACTACGCTTAACAAGTTACCTCAGGTAAAGCCCGATCTGGTGAGGGTGGATGAAAGTTGGGAGGAATGGTCCATGGAAGACCTGATTGATGCTCTGCAGAAGTGGCTTAGGAGAAATCACGTCGAAAGTAGCAAATGCGAAAAAGCATCTGTTCTCACAGAAGTAAGGAGACAAGCTGAAGCCCTATTGCCTTTTCTGCCGAAAACAAGAGCACTGGAGTGAAGACTGTACCCTGGTAACAACGTTAGCGGATAGTAAGAAGTTCTTCGTAGATCACAATTTGTGTTTTAATTGTGGACATTCAAACCACAGTGCAGACCAGTGCCGTAGGCGTGGTTGCGCGAAGTGCAAATACAAGCATCATGTAAGCATATGCGATAGACCGGAGAGGGAAAACAGTAATCCAGATGGAGTGTCAGTGACATTCTACCCCAATTATGCAGAGGAGAAAGTGCTACCTGCAATTATTCCGGACAGTATTGAAGGACAAGTGCTTTGGGCCTACCTAGATACAGGATCTGGACGCAACTTCATTTCACGTGAAGCAGTCAGTTTAAAGCTACGAGACTCACGAAATCTTGACATTTAATTGAACCAAAGTCCACACAGTGCCAATCTTTGACACCCACATTAAATTCTTGGACGGAGAATCATGTGAAGAGGTGGAATTCACTGGATCGAAGTTAGCTGATTTTACTACAGTGAGAAGGGCAGACATTAATCAGCGGAAGTTGAAGTATTCACATACACAGGACAAGAGGTTCTACATGACGTCCACAGGAGAACATTAGATACACCTCATTCTCGGACACGGTATTTATAGCAAAATAAAGACGGAGAGAGTATTCAAAGGGCACCCTGGAGAGCCGCTGGTATGGGAGACAACTTTCGGTTGGGTGGTGCATGCGGGAGACGAATATGGGAGTGGAAACAGCTGCATGTACATGAGAGAGCTTAATGACTATGAGAAACTGTACAGTTTGGATGTACTGGGAGTCGAGGACCGGGGAGAGAATGATCAACTGCGTGACTTTGAAGAGAGTGTTGTGAGAAAGCAAGATGGAAGGTATGAGGTTGGTTTTCCTTGGATACCGGGAGCCACATTAACGAACACAAATGACGCACTCAGCCGAAAGCGGCTTGAAAACGTGGAAAGAAAGCTGTCAAGAGATGAGAAACTGAAAGGAGAGTATGGTGGCATCGTTGAAGAGCAACTCAGAGCAGGGGTAATCGAGGAAGCACCTAAGAGTCCGTCTGGAAAACGTGTGTTCTACATGCTACACAAGCCAATTGTAAAGCAGAGTACAGTTACGACGAAGGTTCCCATGGTGTTTGACGCGAGCGCTAAGCCCAGCCTTTGATTAACAACATCAATGATTGCATGTTTACTGGTCCCCCGTTGCAGCCGTTTCTCTGGGACATAACGGTTAGAGTGCGAATGTCCACAAGTCTGCTTCTTGGAGACATAGAAAAGGCGTTTCTCCAGATAGGTGTGAAAGAGGAGGATAGAGATGCATTCAGATTCTTGTTCAACATTAAAGGAACAGAGAAACATTTAAGATTTACACTGATACCTTTCGGAGTTGAAGCAAGTCCTTTCCTACTGGGAGCCACTCTGCAGCATCACAAAAAGGATCAGAATTTGAAGACAGTGAGAGCACTTAAGGAGAACACTTATGTTGACAATCTCATGCAAACGGGAGGAAATGACGAGGAACTCATGCGGTTCAAAGCAGAGAGTACTGCCAGACGTGAGTCTACCAGGTTCCCGGTGCACAAGTTTCAAGTTTCTTGAAAGTGAAGGCATGCGAAACCCAAGCAAGATCCTTGGACACGCGTGGAATAAAGATGATGACACACCGGAGCCGCTTGCAAAGCCTTTTCCACAAGAACATCCAGTTACCAAGCGCACTATACTCAGTTACCTAGGAACTGTCTACAGCCCACTCGAGATAATCTCACCCACCATGGCTGAGGGAAAGCATATTTATCGAGAAGCCTGCGATGAGAAGAAAGGCTAGAATGCAGAAGTTTCCCCCAGATTGAAGAACCAATGGTTAAGGTGGACGAAGCAACTTAGAGATGTAAACGTGTCTACAAGTATTGCTTCATTCGTCAGAGAGATAGGAGCAGTTCATTTACATCTTTTCGCAGATGCCAGCATATTAGCATGCTGTGCAGCAGCTGTTGCGGGGGTAGAACATGAGGCAGGCGTGACCAAAGGACTTCTGACCTCAAAGTCGCGGATATCAAAGAGAAGTTCATTAATAGCAAGACTGGAGCTCGTAAGTGGCCACATGGCAGTAAACATTGCGAAGAACCTCTTCACTGCTCTCCAGCGGTGACCCATCAAAACCATCAACATTTGGATGGAAAGTATGGTAGCACTATGTTGGATACCAATCCTGGGAGAGGGTGGAAGGTGTTTGTATCAAATAGAGTAAAGAAGATAGCAGAAACGGCTGGTCCAGTCAACATCACTTGGAAGTACTGCCCATCAGAGTTGAATCTAGCAGACCTCGGAAGTAGAGGGGCAACCATTGTGAAGATGGAAAGAGGAAACTGGTTTGGCGGTCTGGATTGGCTCTTGGACAAAAGGCGGTGGCCAGAGCAGCCTAGGCTGAATAGCACCAAAGAAACAGATGAAGAGAGTAAGGTCACCCAAGAGGCAGTTCTTCGAACACAAGAGCGTATGTTCGTTGATTGGAATGCCGTGCTAGAAAGGAGCACCTACTGGCGTACAATGGGAGTAACAGCATGGGTGTTACGGTTTATCAGAAACTGTAAAGGAGCAAGTCAAAGAAGAGGTCGTGAGAGATCACAACTGCAAGTGACTACTGGGTAAAGCGAGTTCAGAAAGCAGAAGAAACATGTCTGAAGTCCCCAGGATGGAAGTTGGCCAAAGATGACCATACAGGAGTTCTCACGTCTGAAGGCAGAATTACAAGATTAAAGGCCGATTTACCTTCCTGGTGGTCTACCTGCGGAGAAGCTTATCTTTCACATCCACAATCAGGTCATGCATCTTTGTGTCGCAGACACGATGGCGAGTGTGAGAGAAAACTGGTGGATACCGAAGTTGAGAGCGAAAGTGAAGAAGGTCATTAAGAACTGCAACATCTGCAAAATATACTCCATCAAACCTTATAGAGTGCCATCAACTAGTGCTTTGCCAGAATATAGAACGGAGGGGAGCAGACCGTTTGAAGTAACCGGGGTGGACTTTGCCAGACCCTTCCTGTACAAGGTCGGTAAGAAAGAAGAAGGAAAGTGCTATGTCATTATTTTCAACTGTACCTGCTCCAGAGCGGTCCATTTGGAAGTTGCAAGCACCCAAGCGGCAGATGAATTCAAGAGTAAGCTGAATGCCTTTATCTCGTGACGGACAAGACCTCGCATCATCATCTCGGATAATGCCAAAGTGTTTAAGGCTACAGCTGATTGGATCAAGACAGTGAGAAAAAGTGAGAAGTTGCAGAATTACGTAGCACGTGAGAACATCCGCTGGCAGTTTAATCTTGCAAAATCACCCTGGTGGGGAGGAATATATGAGAGATTAATTAAGGAGGTAAAGAAGACCTCGCACAAGACCTTGGAGAGGTCACATCTTTCCTATGAAGCATTTGAATCAGTCATCATGGACATCGAAAGAAATTTGTCAGTGAAAAATCGCCCCTTGACGTATGTTGAAGCAGAGAGAGAGGAAGAGGCGGTGCTTACACCGAACATGATCCTGTGGGGACGAGATGTGTATGCTGTAGAAGACACTGAAAGCTCAGATGCAGAGAAGCTGACAAGGAGGGCCAAACGATTGGAAAATGCTAAGGCCAATGCATGGAAACGCTGGAAAAGGGAGTATGTCCACAGCCTATTGGAAAGTCACAGGCTTAACAATGAAACGGGAACCATACCTCAAGTGGGAGAAATTGTACTCATCATTGGAGACGAAAAGAACCGCGGAGAATGGAGAAAGGGTAAAGTGGTGCGTTTTATCAAAGGCAAAGATGACGTCGTTAGAGGGGTAACATTGTTACACAAAAGGCACACTATAGACCGACCGCCTCAGTTAGTTTGTCATGTGGAAATCAGAGCGGTGGAGAATGTTGACCAACCTCAAAAGGGGAGGAGAGATCGAGCTGATGTAGGAGAACAGAGCCAAGAAGAGCTGCAGCTCAGATGGCTGCTCAGAGAATCGCAGAACAATTGCAAGAAGAAGAGAACTGATAAGCTGAACTGTGTTTAAGTATAAACCGGACTGCCATATAGCAGATCGGATTAGTTTCGAGTTTCGGTTGATTGTAAACATTGCGAGCTACAATTTTTAGGGGAGTTGTGTAAGAGAGATTTACCGACACTACCCCTCATAGTTTTGTGTCCTTTAGTAGGACTATTAAATTAGGGCTAGGACTACCAAATAAGGCAATGAGCATGTGCGAGAAAGATAGAACTGGACGAGACGAAAAAGAGAGCGAGTTTTCCTTGTGGAGTTTTTCATCGAGTATTGTGATTTATTGTGAGTTCTTTCGGAGAGAATAAACCAGGAAACCGTGTTATCGTGAGTTGTCACTGTGAGTTCTATGGGCTGTTTTATTGTTCAGCTCAGTTGGTTTTAGTTTTTGCAATCGATCGCCCGATACATCAACACACACACCTGTGGGTAGGTTGGAGGCTTATTAAAAAAAAACAAATTCCTGAAAATTTTATAAGTAGGAAAAATATAAATACGTTATCTGCTGGTCCGCCGGGGGAGGATTCAGATGAAGGAATATCCTAGATAGGTCCTGGTAAACGGCTTTTGTCTCTCAAAATTCCCCCACTATCCCGTACACAAATGTTTCTATATGTAATTTAGGGGAGGTTAAACAGGAGAAAATGCTGGCCAGCAGTCTCCACCACTAATCGTATGTGGGGCGGTCTTGGGGTTTAGCAGGGCCTTAGTGATTTACAGCGCTTTTGCAGAAGTCAATTGTTTTTGCTCACGTTGCCTTTGCGTGCAGGAGTTCTAGTTGTGTTTTGCCCCCAACCCTCCCTCCTCTCTGGATGTTTTTCTTGCTTAGTATCTGCGCCTCTTTCCACAGAGGTTCTCAGTGTGATGGTGGCTTGTGGGTGCCGCTCATAGGGTTGTCATGGTTACCTTCGAGGCTTGCTTGCGGCCTCCCTCTGTTTCATCAGGCACCTTCCCCACACCCATCTACATGTATTGTTGATGGGTTTAAACTGGATTTGTATGCGCAAGCCAACTTGCGCAGAAGGTCATCACCTTGTCGATATTTGGCAGGCACACTGTCCCTCTCTGTTCTCTCTCCATTCTCCCACTCGTTCTCTAAGGGACAGTGAAGCCTGCGAAGGAGGCTAGTATGGCAAGCCGTTTGTAGCAAAATTCAGTCAAGTCAAAAATTTATACAATCCAATCATTTTAGCATAATAAATAAAGAATAAAAAAGCATTTAATTTAATCCTTAAAAAATTCATACAATCCAATCATTGAAATATTTGTTAAATCCAATCTCCGAAATATTTATTCAACCCAATGACTGAAATATTTATTCGATCCAAAAACGGAAACGTATGTTTAATCCATGCATGGACATATTTATTCAATCCATTCGAGAACACGTTCAATACTCCAGGCATTTCATTTAATCTTCCTGGGGCGAGCGCGGCCAACCTGAGTCGTAACATATATGACTTCATCTTTTTTTTTAACGTTGCCCATTTTTGCCTTGCTGGAAAGGGAGGGGGAGGGGAGTAGAAAAAGTTGCAGTCCGCCGTTTACTATTTTTATATTCATTTATAAAGTTAATTCATATTTGGGTGGTACTCTTTACTTATTAATCAGGCTGGTGATATTCATATTGTTTTTCATAGAGAGTGTGTCTGAAACATCGGCCACTGATCCTCCTCAAGTCATTGCTCGTCAGATAAGGAATAAAGATCTTCCCGCAAAGTCAAAGCCTTTTGATGATTGCCAAATCCAAGTCGACATTCTGTTACTGACGGTGATGAAGGAAGATACCTGCGAGGATTGTGAATTTCTAAGCTGCCTTGCATATCTAAATCCTGATTTCTGTAAGATTTATCACCCAGATCTTGGCCACGTGTACCTTGGAGACATGGGAGAAGATGATTTGAAACTAAACGTCGCTGTTATGAAGTGCTACGAGGGTTCGAGCTCTACGGGAGGTTCTATAGTGGTTGTAATTAACGCTGTCAAGGTCTTGAAGCCGAAAGCAGTGTTTTGTGTAGGTTCTTGCAGTGGCGTAGATGTCACTAAAGTTAGTCTTGGAGACGTAGTAGTTTTGAAGAAGTTAGTAACATACGCTTTTTCAGAAGTTACGGAGAATGGTATTAAAGAACGTGGAGTCAAAGTTCCATTAAAGCCTCATCTTTCGAAATTGATTCTAAGTGCTGGTGAAGGTTGGAAGCCACCCTTGAAAGATCCAGGAACACTCGAGGTAAGGATGCATCGCGGCACGTTTCTGAGTGGACCAGAAGTGATAAATAACCACAAGCGGTGTAGCGCACTCATCGAAAGATTTCCAGAAGCAGTTGCTATCGAGCGAGAAGGTGAAGGTAAGTTTCTTGGCCAGTTGCTGTGTTAACAGAGTGTTCATAAATTCAATTCAATTCTATTGTAAGAGAACATTTTTTTAGGGGAGGCATCTATGAATCAGATTTAAAAAGCGATCCACAAGATTCCAAACTGACCTTTTCATTACACAGTTATCGCCACATTGAACTCTGCCTTTTTTTCGAATTTGCAGTTTTTGAGCGCCTGTTGGTTTTAAGAAAGTTGCTTTTTATTCCTTTTCTTGTCAGCTGGCTATTTTCCCTCGGTTGTGACTAGAATGGATACCTCAAAATCAGGTTGGACACCTTATGTTTATTACACAACGCTATACTCTACCCCACGCTATACTATATTTAGGTTAATTTACTGGGCTCGAGAACTTTTAGAAAAGTGGGGAAATGAGAGTAAGAGACAGTTGTGCAAGGAAAAGAGTTGAATGCAGGGTTTAGCACCGAAGCACAGTGATAAGGGTTAAGCACTGTTTTAAAAACGGTTAGCTTTCAGTAATGTAATGATTAACGCCATGTAAAGTACGTTATAACTAACCGGTGTCGGCAGTTAGCCCTTGATGGTGTAGTGGATACGGATATGGATTATACATCAAATGAGGCGGGTTCAAGTCCTACATACTATCTACTGTTTTCTTGTGTTTTGTTTCTTCTCTTATTTACTACTTCAAGTTATAAGAGTCCTATCATGTATTTTGAGTGAAGATGACAATCTGACTTTGGGGTATCCATTCTAGTCACAACCATTTTCCCTCTATATACCACACAAAAAGGTTATTGCCCTCTGCATATCGATGCTTTAAAATCAAGTTCAAAGTGATAATTGTCAAGTCTTGTTCACTGTCTCTCTTCTTGATCTGGTTCTTTCCAGTGGCGTCTGCATTAGTCAACTCTTAACTCCACTTCTCTTCATTTTCCACAAATCTCCATTTCAGGTTTGTTTGCAGCAGCGCATGACCTGGATATTGAGTGGGTAGTTATTAAAGGAATTTCTGGCTACGCCGACGGCAGAAAAGTTAAGGATTCTTGGAGAACATTCGCAAGTTTTATGGCAGCTTCTCTAACGGCTCACATTCTCAGCGACGCTATTGCTTTTCAAGCCTTGCCACACTATGGGAGTGCAAGTGAGTATTGGACATTCAGGAAACGTTCATGCTGAATTTTCTAATGCCATCTCCTATTCTCTCCTTCGGCTCAGTTGTAGTTTTGCTCCTCTCATAATCCAACCAGTAAATGTTTTGAAAAGTTTTTTCCAACCAATCTAAATTTTGCTTTGCAGTTCAAAGAGTATTTTTGGGTAAATTGAATGACAAATGGCTTTTTTATCAATTTAGCTAGCTAATCCTCTGAAAAGGGTGAAGTGATCTAGCAGCGTTTTTTGACCTTTTTACAGTGAAACCCTGAGCTAACGACAGCCTCGTTTACATGACCACGTTGTTGTTACGACCACATTAGAGACCTTAAGATCGAGGTTTGGCCAACTTTCCGCAAACGACAAACTGCACTCTACGGTTGGCGGTTTCACGTCAACGGTCTGCCCATGTTGGTTAGCATTAGATCCCATCGGCCTAAACCCTTGTACAAGATATGTAAAAGGTGTTTGACTTGTAACACCCAACACTGTTCAGGCGAGGAGGGAGGTCATTTCCTCACCTAAAACACAGAGTGTCTCAAACGTTTTGTCCGCGCTCACAAAGCTATCTTCTTACTTAAAAGAAAAGTAAATATAGAGCTATTTTCCTTATTACGTTATACCAGATGGCATAATTGCTATACAGAACAGAAACATTCAAAATCACTCAAACCTTAGAGATATACGATCGTGTGTAGTAAAAAATAGTCATTACGCCTTTTATTAAGTACACGGGAATTACGATGAAGTGCTACAACTAAATAGCGTGGTTGCCTTTAATCATAATGACGATTTCAACAAACAGATCGCAGTAAGGAAAAACGACATTGTTCATATTCCAGCACCTGGTACAGTGTAGTAAAAAATAGTCATTACGCCTTTTATTAAGTACACGGGAATTACGATGAAGTGCTACAACTAAATAGCGTGGTTTCCTTTAATCATAATGACGATTTCAACAAACAGATCGCAGTAAGGAAAAACGACATTGTTCATATTCCAGCACCTGGTACCCAGAAATTTTGGTAGCAAAGACATTGATTTAAAAAAGGACTTCTCAGTCTTCAGACGACATCAAATACTGCATAAGTCTTAGCAAAAGGTGGGGACAGTCGATCAAGCTAAATGTCAGGTTATGTTTCTTCATCGGCAAAAAATAAATACCACCGAAAATATCCGGTGAATCTGCCTCCCTGCTCAAGACGTTTTGCCAAACTTACTCTGGACAGGAAATAAGAACCGGAAACATACCGCGGAATGTTTGCTCGACATCTCATTGTAAATCACGCACGCAACGTGACATTCTTTGACGGTTCTCCATGGGAACTTGTCCTTTGTTAACTGTCAGTAACTTTTGGACGATCATTTAAGCACATAACTTTGTCGAGAAAGCTATTTTCTTGTTATCTTTGAGGAAATCTTTATCTGACAAGGCGAGAAAGTTAGAAAATGCACAGTGCTCCACTCATCGTTTATTAGCCTGCGTAGCATGGCGGTTTTGTCGAGCCGGGCGCAGGAGCGGCGTAGCGGTTTCTCTGCCCTCGCCCGCCTTTATTACTTAGCGCGCCCAACCAAAACCGCCATGCTACGCAGGCTAATCGTTTATTGAAAGTTTATCATAGGAAAAGGTTTTACTAACATTTCAGTGGAGGACTGTTTGAAATCCAAACGGAGGATGTTTATTTCACAATTCATACCGCAATTTCTATAGTATAAATTGTTGGTTGTCTTATAAGGAAACAAAAATTGGATAGAAACCTACGTTGGAGAAAAGGGAAATAATTGACAAGTGGAGCACTGTGTTGCGTGACTATGGAGCATCGCGAGCACAGGAGCTCAGCAACTGAAAACACGAAAACAAGGTTTCACAACGGACTTCATTCGATGTAATTGCATCACAAGACGTAACTTTCAGCAATAAGGTTTTTCAAGTTTACAACGAATATTCGATTCATGCATTTTTTTTAGACCCAATGGTTGGATTGATTCGCTCATGCCTCTTAATTGTGCGGTGTACAATGAGACGTCTCAGACCAGAATGTATAAATCAAAAAAGATTTAGAATTCGTTAAAGCATATGGCGTTACATTTGAATACAAAGGGCCTTGTCCTGTTATATCTTTTTAACAATATGAAAGAAAAGTTTTTAAGCAAAGTCTGTAAAGAGGAATTTACAATTAGTGTAGCTCCGGGCGGATAACTTTCTTTCTTTATCCGTAGAAAAAAGACGGCGTTCATGTCTCAGCAACCAGCTCTTACAAAACACCCTGGAAATTTCTCTGTCAAAAAAGATGCGCAAAATGTTTTTCTAAAAACATCACGCCTCTGCTTTAATCAAGAGCTATTAAAACATACATTCTTTCCTCTCACTGACTTGGATTGACTCTGGACTCACGCTTTCGTTTCTTGTCGCAGTGATTTCCCGTTGCTTAAAGGGCTAGATTTGTGGCTTCGTCTGATATTGTCCTTCTCGAGTTTGCTATTTTCATTGAAATCCCTATCTTATACTAATCTACCTGCTTGAACCAGACTTAAAGCTCGCTGTACTATAGCCGAGATGGTGTCATTTCGTATCATTTGGATGAAAAATTGGCCCTGTGGTTTTTTGTAATAGTATTTATACCGTGAATACTGTGATTTTACATGTAATCTGTCATTTAAGTGAAAAAGTGCCACTTGGAGTGCTTTGTGGTGTAGTCAAAAGTAGATTCACTACAGACGCAGATGGCGAAACCAACAAAAGACCTCTAATCCATTCTAAAGTTAAGATTGCAGGCTCTGTGAGCCCCAGAACTTTTAAATATCCATCCAAACATGCTAAAAATCCAAAACTTTGGACCTATTTGTTGTAAGCAAAATTGAAAAGTACAAAATAATAGCATTTGGAAGAGATTTCGGAAAAGCAACTTTTCGGACAATCCTGGCCAAAAGGAAGGCACTACAGTAATATGCAGAAAGGCACTAAATTAGTATGCAGGAAGACACTTTTTTGCGAGGGAATCCTGCATATGTAATGAAGTGAATCCACCTCTTGCGAGGGAATCCAAAGGGAATCCACCAAACAGGAGTAAAGTGACACTATTTTCGGACGATACGAAAGCCGAATTAAATCATTGTTTTATCATTCATTCAAATTAATTCCTAGTTTAAAACTTACTTCCATCGATGGTAAGTTCATCTTCGATAGTGCATGTTTTTCGGCAAATTTAGGAGATAAAGTGTTGTTCAGGTGTGCAAATATTCTATGAATAGCAGATGTAATCCGTCGAGTTGTCTTCTTGCTGTTCTTGCTTTTTTTTTCAGGGCTCGAAGTTAAATTTTTAGTACACTTGCAAAGTTTTGCTAGTAATATTTTTTTCCTCTAGCAAACTGGTGAGACCACTAGCAAATTTTTTCCCTTTGAAACGTCAATGAGCACATCAGATATATAGGTTAAAATTGATCTTTCGCACAGTCTATCAATGAGCTGAAAAGTTTAATAAAAAATGGTATTAAATATTATTTGGTCTCCTTTGTTGTTGTCCTGACAGCCACCACCTATCTACTGCAGCTCTGGGGTGATAATCAGCCTGTTTTTATGGGCCCTCAATTTTCAACTGTTTTCAGATAAGCTGTGTTATCTCTGTTGGATTCCGACTTCAAACTCTTGTTCTTCGGTGGCTCGAGGTCTTCATCGCCACTGGCACTCGTGTTAGAGGTCGAGGGTCCTGAGGGCCTCTTGAAGAAAGAATTTATTTTTGACATATGTAATGAAAACCACGAGGAACAACAACAACAACACTCGCATGCGCATGTGTGGCACAGGGCTTCGGTGCAATACCTCTCGCCAGTGGTTAACAGAAAAGGTGCTTTTCTCTGCTCAACGCTCGACCGCTGTATTATTTGTCTCACATGTCGTCTGTTCATTCCTTCTTGCGTTCGAACGGCTTTCTCCAAATGTTTGGGAGACATGGATGATTCTAACTCGCAAACGTTTGTTAGTGGATATTTTTGTTACTCGCAGATTATCAAAATCATTCGCATTTTGCGAGTTTGTGTGCGTTAATTTCGAGCGCTGGTTTTTAGTCAATAGTTCGCGTATTTCTTCTTCATGAAACGAGTGAGATGATTGTTCCGCCATTTTGTATTCACTACCAAAATAACCCAACCTCGTCCCCAGGTTTTCTCGGTTAACCTATTCAATAATCTGGCAATTTTGCTGCACGATTGACGTCATTGACAGTNTATCTACTGCAGCTCTGGGGTGATAATCAGCCTGTTTTTATGGGCCCTCAATTTTCAACTGTTTTCAGATAAGCTGTGTTATCTCTGTTGGATTCCGACTTCAAACTCTTGTTCTTCGGTGGCTCGAGGTCTTCATCGCCACTGGCACTCGTGTTAGAGGTCGAGGGTCCTGAGGGCCTCTTGAAGAAAGAATTTATTTTTGACATATGTAATGAAAACCACGAGGAACAACAACAACAACACTCGCATGCGCATGTGTGGCACAGGGCTTCGGTGCAATACCTCTCGCCAGTGGTTAACAGAAAAGGTGCTTTTCTCTGCTCAACGCTCGACCGCTGTATTATTTGTCTCACATGTCGTCTGTTCATTCCTTCTTGCGTTCGAACGGCTTTCTCCAAATGTTTGGGAGACATGGATGATTCTAACTCGCAAACGTTTGTTAGTGGATATTTTTGTTACTCGCAGATTATCAAAATCATTCGCATTTTGCGAGTTTGTGTGCGTTAATTTCGAGCGCTGGTTTTTAGTCAATAGTTCGCGTATTTCTTCTTCATGAAACGAGTGAGATGATTGTTCCGCCATTTTGTATTCACTACCAAAATAACCCAACCTCGTCCCCAGGTTTTCTCGGTTAACCTATTCAATAATCTGGCAATTTTGCTGCACGATTGACGTCATTGACAGTAGCTAGTTATTGTGAATTATGCGTGGGATATAATAATAATAATAATAATAATAATAATAATAATAATAATAATAATGGAGTTTACTCAATGGAAATACATTAAACGAAGTGAAATGATACAATTTCAGGTTCATCAGGGGGACTTCAACCTGTCAAAAAAGGTAAAACGCCCTTACCTCCAAGTGGTACCCCAGATCCAAAGCACCCAAGACTGTCGAAAGATGAAGGTAAAGCTTGCGTTTGCTACCCGTATTACGTAACGCTGAGGTGTATGATGTGCACTTCGTTTTCACACATACCGTAAAATTCCGAAAATAAGCCCTTCCATGTATAAGCCCCTCCAAACATAAGCACCCCAATCCGGTAACGCGAAAAACCCTCCGTTAAATTGCTCCTCCAAATATAACCCCCCCGGGGGCTTGTACTTGGAAAATTGCCCTCAAATACAAAGTAAAACAAAGCAAAAATGGTAAATTTACTTCCAACTGCTAGCCCAATCGATTTTGAAACGCAAATTTCCCTCCGTAGATAAGCCCCTCCGAATATAAGCCCCTCCAAAAATAAGCCCCTCAAAAAGGGCCTTTGAAAAATATAAGTCCCGGGGCTTATTTTCGGAATTTTGCGGTATAAGGATTAATCCTTTGTTTCATAAGCAGTTGAAAAGCAAAGTTACAGTTTACTATACCATTACCCTTCGCAGTTTGAGTCATTTAAGTTGACCAAAACATTCTGCTGTTAGCCGACCCTGAGTTTTATGCTTTCTCGCTTGAGGGCTATAGCATAGGTAATAGCATGATTTGTAGTGATATTTGGCATAAGTACCAGGAGTGATATTACGAAATTGTTATACATAATTTCACGAGCGGTTATGCGAGTGAAATCTGGGGCAATTTTGGAATATCACGAGTGGTATTTATGTCAAATATCACGTACAAATCATGGTATTATTAATTTGTTTATACTACTACCATCAATTGTTTTGTAATTTTCACATGTAGGTATTTCAAATTAAGCTGAAATACCACTGCTCTAAGCCAATCAAATTGCAGAAATTTCTCATGTAGTAGTATAATGTTGGTATTTTCTGGATTTAGTCTCAGGTGCAAAGAGATCGAAGTCTTCGAAAAAAGGCAAAAGGCCGTTATCCTCAAGCAATACTCCAAAACATCCGAGACTGTTGAGAGATGAAGGTAAAGTTTTACTTTTTCTTTATTTAGGTAAGGGTTGGTATTGTTTTGCGTGTATATGACAGAGTATGTGTAAACTTTCCCAATATGGTATAATGGGGCCTTTGTAGCTGCTCTTGTGTTCCCTAAGCGCGTCTTCATAACCTGCATAACTGACGAAACAAGACGGTGCTGGTGCTTTTCGTTGGCGTAGCACCTCGTACGCGCTGAATTTCCGTCAGCGAGTAGTTGCGAATCTATTTTGATCCTTCTCTATGCCTTTCATTTATATAGCCAGTTTTGTTGCCCACTTAACAACTGCGTCTCTTAGTAGAGGTGGGTGCCCAGGATGTCCAGGGCCCACTACTTTGTAGACAGAATTAAGTCCCCATGGCTGGTAAACACGCGCCCTCTAGCCACTTCTGACCCTCTCTCCCAATTTCGAACGTGCTTCGTAACACTCGCACGCTACAGTCAGGCGAGTTTAGAATTTTTAGCACATTTTGGCCCAAAACATAGTCAAATCGCGCTACAATTCCTTGAGTAAAAACCTCACAAGAACAAATATTTCTCTCTCTTTTTGAATGTGGATGAGGTCCCTAACAATTCAACTCAACGAGAAAATTTCACCTAAATTTGACAAATTGTGAGAGTAAGGAAAAAATTGCGATAACTTTGAAAGAACGCGAAGTTAATTTTACTTTTTCGAGACGTCTAACTGCCGTCAACTTTTGCATGTGGTTACCTAAGCTCCCTACTATGATAACAGTCTAAAAGTAAAACTGTATAAACCGAAACAGTAAAAATCATCGTAATTTTTGCCATGCATGTAAGCCTAATTTTCTTTTAGGCCTCAAAATTTTTCCTACATGAACAGAAAATTTTCAAATTTGAGTTAAAATTGCAGCCGTTCCAGGGTATTTGGTTGTTTGTTGTTGCATCAAAAGGTCATCCGAAAACAGTTGCTGCGCTTGTTTCTACGAAGTCAAAGTAAATGGAGTTAATTGATTTCCTTTTCAATGTTTATTGTTAACGATGTCTAGATAGTAACAGTTACTAAGGTCTGTAGGTCCCAATACACACGAGCAGCATTTATATAAGAAAGCCTCTGTGATCTGTTAAGTTGAAAAACCCCCTTCTTCTGAAAAACGTCTTCAAAAAGGTATTCTTGAATCGTAGCTGAACAATATTACGTGTATATTCACGTTTCCTGGCGGCCTCTCTCTTCTTTTAGCCTTTGGATGATTCTTTTCATTCTTTTACCCCCATCCCTCCTCCCCTTTTATTTTTCCTCTGACAAATCAGTGTGATAGGTGCCTGGTCTCATTGGCGTGAGAGCTCATGGCTGGAAGGCGCAGGTTTACCAGGGGCTAGCCTGTTCCAGGTATTCAGATAGTAGAGTTCGGTGTTCGGATGGTGGGGAGCGAGTTTAATGGTACGCGGAAGAAACGAGGGAAAAAAAACAAGGGTAGAGTGGGGCAGTTCCCTCCCTTTTCCCTCTCTAGACTCTCCCGTTAAGCGATACGCGACAGCAGAAATCTAGTAATTGATTACAGATATACTTTTCTGCAGTTCAGTAAGCGGTTCATAAAACCTCGAAATCCCTCAAAGTAACGACTGTCGGGGGGCCTTAGAAATGTTTTAGTATTGCTAGGCTATCTGTCCTCCAATAATTTTCTTTGTTTTTAGCCGTAAGCAGGATTTATTATTAGTGTATTTAGCGTTAAAAATACTTTTTTATATTAATAAAAGTCTTTTCTAAATTGCGAAAATATCTTCGGTACAGTTAACTGGACAAAAGTTGTTGCTACGAATGGCAAGGATGGACATCGGTTGAAACTTGAAAAAATTGAGCCAATCTTTTTACATGTTTTAATGCTATGCCTTCAGAAATCAAAAAATATTATTATTCTGGTTAATGCTCATTGATGAAGTTTGTTTGATCTTCTTTATGACACCACAGGAGTATTTTGTTTAAGTAATGACTTCTGCACAGAATTGACCTAAAACCTAAAAGAGATACCTTAGTAGTACTTAATTTCTCGATGTTGGCAAGACAGTATTTGGCGGGGTTTTATTTTCGCGATTTCACTAGCCAATTATGACAAAAGGCATTCAATTTCGCGATTAAAGCGTTCTCAACCTTATTTTATTTTTCAAACGTCTGAACTTTTTAAAATATCGAGATAAAATGAAACAAGAAAAACGCATATTAACGTTATTTTACTACAGAAGACACAGTCAAGGAATGGAACTTACCAGTTTACCAGCTAATGATTTGTTGGTATTTTTGTATAAATTGTAGTTGTGTTATTTTTTTTCTGTGATTTCAATTTTCTGTATGGGTATTTAATTTCGCTTGTTTAAATCTCGCGGGGATTTTTATTTGCAGGTCTTTAATTTCGCGCGCGAAATTAAGTAGCAGTAAGGTATATACTCGTGACGTAATCCCTTTAATGTTGGTAATTGATTTAATTGTAGACGCCGGCGCAGCAAAGACAGCAAAGAGATCCAGGTCTCCGAGAAAAGGCAAAAGTCCTTTATCTTCAAGTGCTGTTCCCGCTCCAAAACAACCGAAACTGTTGAAAGACGAAAGTAAAGTTCGTTTCTGGGTTATTTAGAGTAAGGGTTAATATGGCATGACCTGCGTATGAGAGAGTTTAGGATGGTCTTGTGTCGTTGGTCTCGTGTTTCTAAAATGCGGCTTCATAAGCTGCATAGCATACGAAATAAGACTGTGATAGTATTTCCCGCCCGCTCAACTTGGCTCGTCCCCATTCTTCTCGCACCCCTATCGCCTAAACAAAAACACTTCTGAAATAAAGCGCTTGTCTGGGTTCCTCTGCTGCAAAGGGTAGTGGCTCTATTATTTGGGTCCTCTTTTCTAGTTGGACATCATGAAGCTATAGTTTAGTGGCCTCGGTCGCACTTAGAGAAAATCTTGAGATTCTCATGTCTTACACACTCTCCAAACTTTCAGCGTGCTTCGTAGCACGACATGCTTAGCGTACAGGTAGAACGACGCCACATTTAGCCCGAAACCCTGGTTATGCTTTTATCACGTTACTTTCACCTTAAAAAACTAACTATTTAGCGCTAGTCTCTTGTCAGTCAGATCAGCTTCCTACGCAGACCTTCTAAGGGCCTTGTCACACCCTAGGAAAGTCTGCGTGGGAGGCTAGGCTGCTGAAAATCCAACCACATACCTTAACCTTTGTATTTCCGGTGTAATGAACAAACCTATCACTTGTCAGAAAATTGAGAGTGATGTCAGTTCTGTTTTGGAACGCAAATGATTTGTACGTGATTTTTTAAGAAATGAACCTTAAAAGTGAAATGTTTTAACAGAGAGTGTATGCCACACATTTTTCATGTATACAAAAAAAAGATCCTCTGGGAGGACAGGAGCTTACCGGCAAGAAATAGTCTCTGCGAAAAAAGGGCTGTGATGGGTACCTATGGTCCAAGGCATAATCGTTTAACGCCGTGTGCTACGAGGACAATTATTTTTCAAAGAGAAAATTTAAATTATTTCATAGTTTGATTCACTCAGTGTACCTTGTTTTTTCAACACGTTTGTTTTCTTTTGCCAATATTTTTGCCGTGCGCTATCTGTGCAAAACGTATGTAACAAAAGTCAAGTGACAACGGACCGAATGCCCATCAAACCACGTGCTTGCAAAACAAAATCGTTCTTCAAGGCAGTCATGTTGTGTAGCGAGTTCTGAATTCCCCGTGCACTGTAGCACCTAAGGTTGGTTCGGCGGCCACAGGCAAAGTTAAAACTTCTTCTGTGTCGTAACGAAATTACCATATTAAAAATGAAATTTTAAAAATTACATTGTTTTGAATTTATGCAAATTTGTGACATACATAGTAAAAGTGACAGGTTCATGTTTGGGTTTTCCCACATTGTAATTTTTAATGTTAAATACTACAAACGATCAAAAAATATTCATTACTAGTAAGACTCAATCAACACATAAAGCAATTACGAATGGGTAGAAATAGCAAAGAAATTAATCTGGCTAAACTCAATTCGAGAATTATCATAACAGAGGACGTTTCCTGTAATATGGTATTTGAAAGGCCATTCCTGACAAACGCCTTACGTTTTTAAAATAACGGAGCATTATAT